AGCTTTCTGTTAGGTTGAAAATGGAGGAGATGATAAAAATCTGCATATATACTTTCTGTTTACATTAGACTGAAAATGGTAAACGTATTTTTGATTTATACCAGAGTCAAGATATACAATGGTTTGGTTTGAAAAAAAGGAGTTTCGTATCGTTATGATGTATAGCATGTTCAAACAGATAAACATTGGTCCGCTTTACACTACCATAAGAAATATAGATATGTATCCGGTCGTAAATAATGTAAAAAAAAACAATATATATGACGTGTTTGTCTAAAAATATATGTGTAAATTCAGCTTCATCCCTTAGAGGTAAAATTCCCGACTGCTAGCAAATCAGTCGAGTTTCGATTCCGGCTTGAAGCAATCGGATATCTGATGACTTGTGAAACAGCGAAACAATCTATCTGTGGATGGCAATATATATATATATATATATATATATATATATATATGTGTGTGTGTGTGTGTGTGTGTGTGTGTGTGTATGTGTGTGTGCATTATGGGCGGAGTATGGGTGGTGTAATGGATACCTGAGTTCGGGTGTTCGGGTTCCAGTCGGGTTTGTTACATTCACTTACGTGTAAATACCTTTGGGAAAGGTACGAAGCTATTTCTATGAGTGAATAGCAGGGTAGACTATGTTCCATAGCCTTGCGTGGTAACACGTTTAGGGGAAGAACAACTCTGAATTTAAAACCTGAGTGGTCGGCGACTAGAACCTTCGCAGTGAGTCTAGCACTCTGGTCTGGTGCTGACGATAAGCGGAACACCAGCAGCACAGAAAAGCTGTTAAAAAATAGATGTGACAACGGCCATCCACCCCAACTCCGGGTTAAATAGCAATCATCGAACCGCCGGTGGCCACGCTTAGTGAATGCGGCGATGAAGACATGCTCAATCATGGACAGGTTTCTCCGACCATGGATTTTGATTTGGATAATAAGTTTAAACATAAACCTTTGTTTTCAGTAGGGTTAAAAATATAGACACCCGCCATGTTTATACTAGTGAAAATACAAGTATGAGTTTATTTATAACTGGAAAAACTGAGGTAAATATAGGTCGAATTCACAAGGAAGCACACAAGAGGTGGAGTCATTTGGGGTCATCTTACACATCGGCACTAAAGACAGTCACCATCTTATAAGCCCATCTTAAACAGAGGAACGTAGGATAAAGAAGAGGTAAGTAGATTAATAAGGCTAGACATTACTAAAGTTAGGCAACATCGAGTTTGATCAATATCTAGATGGGTGACTTCTGCGGAATATCATCTGCTGTAAGGGTGGATGAGCAGATTGTGTAATGGATAACGTTTTGGAGTTAGAAATCGGAAAGGCGAACACGAATTTCAGTCTCTTTCGTTAATTTTGCAATGTTGTCTTTGTTGAAAATCGCCGAGAATTAGGAAGGCCGTAATTAACGAGAGTAACGAAGGACCATACGACTATGTCAGGCAAACAAAGAAGAAGGTGTATTAGATACTCATACATATGTTATAGTGGAACACACCTATTCTGTAGTTAATAGACTCTCCCATCTATAATAAGTAGGAGTAGTAGCAGTGGCTGAGTCCCTCAGTGAGTCGGTCTGAGTTCAGTCTGAAGTTGGACGACCAGCTGATCGGTTGAACTCTCTGCCTTCGGGCGGGGTGGAACCCGAACGAGGCTACGCCGAAGGGCGGAGTTTTTTCGGGGAGGTAAACCGACCCTGAACCCGTTTATACGGGTTTTAAAAGTGCATATTTTTGGCCGAGCCCACGGGCTCGGAGATCCCACGTTAAACCGGCCTTTTGCCACATGACGCCCTCGTGGGGGAGGGTGACTGAAGTTCCTCAGTGAGTCGGTCTGAGTTCAGTCTGAAGTCGGACGACCGGCTGACCGGTTGAACTCTCTGCCTTCGGGTGGGGTGGAACTCGAAAGAGCCTACGCCGAAGGGCGGAGTCTATTTCAAGGAGGTAAACTGAACCTGAACCCGTTTATACGGGTTTTAAAAGGGCATATTTTTGGCCTAGCCCACGGGCTCGGAGATCCCACGTTAAACCGCCCTTTTGCCACATGATGCCCTCCAGGGCGGGTGACAGAATATCGCTCAGTGAGTTGGTCAGTCAGTCGATGACGGACGACCGTTAGTCGGATATTAAAGTATCAGACACCACAACTAGATTTCTCTGCGTCATTACCTATTATATCAAGTTCCTAACGTTTTGTACGTCGAACCTATTTTAGGACCGACTTAGTGAAATACAAGACTCCACTGTGAAACTACTCTACAAGACTTGGCGACGACGATCCGAAACTCATACGGAGGAAGAATAATTTTCGTTCACCATACAACAACATAGGTGTTCAAAATAGCTGAGAGTTAGAAAAGCTGTAGTTAGAGAGAGTATCGAAGGAACAGTAGACTATATATGGCAAACGAAGAAGAAGGTTTATTAAATACTCATACATATGAGTTCAAAATAGCTGATAGTTAGGAAGGCCGCAGTTAAAGTATTGAAAGAACAGAAGTCTATATATGGCAAACAAAGAAGAAGGTTTATTAAATACTCATACATAGGAGTTCAAAATAGCCGAGAGTTAGGAAGGCCGCAGTTAAAGTATTGAAGCAACTGAAGACTATATATGGCAAACAAAGAAGAAGGTTTATTAAATACTCATACATAGGAGTTCAAAATAGCCGAGAGTTAGGAAGGCCGCAGTTAAAGTATTGAAGGAACAGAAGTCTATATATGGCAAAGAAGTTTTATTAAATACTCATACATAGGAGTTCAAAAGGACCAAAAATTAAGAAGGTCGTATTTAAAGAGAGTATCGAAGGAACAGAAGACTAGGCAGAGGAAATAAAAGTTTTATTAAATACTCATATATAGAAGAGAAAAAACTTGAGTAAATCAACTCTTCCTAAAAACCTATTCTAGTAGTCTACTCTTACAATTGTAGGAAAGAGTAGGAAGTACGCCGTGTTCTACTTTACAGCACTAAATTCATTTAAGCAAATACGCTTGAGTGTCCCTGAATTAAAAAAAAGACAAACTCGCTCAAGCCTGTCACATCTGCTCCTACCAGGCACGCATTCGGCCCGCGGGGTAGAGTGATGGCCCACTTTCCCCATTAAATATGGGGAAGGTCTACGCCCTAGGATGGTCACTAATAACGGTTTTCTTCCTTATTTATTTCCTTCTTTTTAATGCCTTCTATTTAGTTTTACAGGTTCGGTTTTACTTTGAATAATGTCTGTGCACTTTTTAAATCATTTCATCCCATGTAAGACACCGAGACATCAATGATTAGTGTTGAGGGGTTCTACCCTTTTTATACAAATGAACTCACCCAGTATATACATATACTACTGCAAGAGCGAGACGAGAGGAAGAGAGAGCAAGACCGAAGAGTCGAGTCCAGAGTGACAGAGTAAAAGGTTGTATGTAACCGGAAGAGTGATGGGTGAGGTAACAGCATTGTAGGAGTCACAGTGAGCGAGCACGTAGACTCAGTAAGAAGTCATACAGCGATACTTCAATACCAAAGACTGTATATATATTTTGCTACTAACCCGTATTCCTGGAACTACTAACCTGCTTTACCAGTTTGTATTATTACATTAATACATTATTTTCATATATTCATTCCTGGCGTTTGTTATTTATTGGTACCGGATTTCAACCCGGAATCCACAAAAATTAGTGAATGCGAAAGTATATGAAAAAAGAGAAACCCCATTAAGCACGAAGAAGAAGAGTAATCAAGAAGACAGTAGATAACGATTGGCATTGTATTTAAATCTTTGAAGATCAATGTTGGTTGGAATGCAGCCGAATGAGAGTTCCACAAGTGCGAATTGCTGAAAAAGAAGCTGTTGGCATTTTTTAATCGGTAACACCCCATGAAAGGCAGTAAAGCCACTAAGACACAAGAGATAACAAGGCGTGGAAGAAACATTAACAGAAGCATTAATAATGAGCGAGAAGGGAAAAGAGCAATCAGGAAGACAGTAGATAGATAGATTGCATTTAAAGTTTTTCTTATGAAATTTGGCTGGAAAGGAATCGAAAGATAATTCCACAAGCGAGAAATGCGATGTAAATTGATGCCTTGTTACCAATCTCGTAGAGCGTTTAAATTCGTAATGCCTTGGTACCATAGCGGAGAGTGAATACGATCAGTTACCATGAAAATATAGGAAAGTTATAGAGAAGGTACATTAACGCGATGGGAAAGCGACAGGATCATTATTATTAAACACCTAAAGAAGATAGTACCCATTCCTAAGTTGCCTTTTAACAGCCAAGCTCGTTAACCATTACTCCATGTCGCGGCACCTAACTTCAGTAGGAGGTTTATCTTCGAAGCTGAACTTGATTTTGGTAAAAGAGTGTGGAACGAACTTACTGCTCACTATCAATGCTCTGTGAGACTCTCCTGCCACCCATTAGATTATAGAGATAACGAGGAAGCAACATTTTTGCTTAGCTTAGTTACATATTCGTAGACGACCTCAAGAATGGTTCATCTAGTCAGGATCGAACTCACTGGTTAGAATTACGAGAAAAAGCTTGTTAAAGATTACAGGCACAATAAATTAATTCACTAGTTGTTCTTATTCTTTATTTTTCTATGCATAATATTTTTTTTTCTTTCTAACATTGTTACAGATTTTTTTTTTATCAGAACCTCTTTCTTCTCCATTTTTTTACTTCATTGATTGTCATTTTTTCACCGAAGACTAGTAATGGCATTATTCCGATTATTGGGGTAGATCTCGCGATTTCTATGGTTTCATTCTGATGATCTAATCATGGAGTGTTAACCAGATGTGCTTCCAAATGTATTTCTCTGAAAACGAAGCAAAAATATACACCAATCTTGGTTTAGTATTTTGGAATCAATCGCTGCTTCTTCGTTAATACCGAGCTCAAAAAAATAAATAAATTTACGATATTTGATATTGTTTTTACAAAGTTCATTATCTCTCACATTTATTTGATGGATTTAATGCAATATCTTCTTTTTTTCTTTTTTGCTTTCATCGATTTTAATATCATTTGTTTAATTAGTTATTACATTTTTTTGGTTTTATTTAATTTCTTCATTTTCTTTTATATTTTTTTCCTCCTTTCATTCTTTTTTAAATTAATATTTCTTTTTTTCTGCTTTTTTCTTCATTTTATATTTCTTTCGTTGTATCTTTTCCATTCAGTCTTTTTTCCTTTCTGTCTTTATTTCTTTCATCTTTTAAATTATTGTTCGTTCTTTCCTTATTTCTTTTTTTATAAATCATAGTTCTTTATTTTATTCTTTTTTTCATTCATTTTGCTTTCTTTGTTTCTTTTAAATCATATTTATTCTTTCCTTCTTTCTTTTTATCTTTTCCTTTCTTTCTTGCAACTTTTATATCATTCTTCATTCTTTTCCTTATTTCTATGTTTTAAATCAGTTCTTTCTTTTTTCCCATTTTCACTTTCTTTCTTTCTTTCCATATTTTCTCCAATTTTTCTTTCTTTCTCTTAAATTAATATTCATTATTTATATATTTTAAAACATAGTTATCTTAGTTTTAACTTTTTTCTTTCTTTTTTCTTTCCTATTTTTAAATCATAGTTCATGCTTTACCATTTCTTTGTTGTAGATCGTTTTACATAGTATTTCTTTCTTTCGCTTTCTTTCTTTTTTAAATCTTACTTCTTCATTTCCTTCTTTTTTATTTCTTTGTTTCCGACTTTCTTTCTTTCGAATCGTAGGTCTTTCTTTCAACCTTTCTTTTTTTAATCTTATTTCTTTCTTTTGATTTCTCCTCTGTTAATTTTCTTTCTTTATTTCAATCCTTTAAATAAAAGTTCTTAGGTTCCATTTGTTTCGTTTCTTTTAAATCACAGTTCTTTCTTTCTTTCTTTCTTTCTTTCTTTCTTTCTTTCCATTTGTTTGTTTGTTTGTTTGTTTCTTTCTTTCTCTTTACTTTCTTTCTTTCTATCTTTCTTTTACATAAAATCTATTTCATTCTCATCACCTTTCTTAATTTCCATTTTTTCTTTGTTTTAAATCATATTTCTTTCTTTCTTTTTACTCTCTTTCTCTCTTTCTATCTTTCTTTCTATCTTTCTTTTACATAAAATCTATTTCATTCTTACCACCTTTCTTAATTTCCATTTTTTTCTTTGTTTTAAATCATATGTCTTTCTTTCTTTCCTTCTTTTTTCTTTCTTTCTTTCTTTATAAAATACTTTTCTTTATTTCTCTTTGTCTAACTTTCAAGTCATAATTACATTTTATTCATTTTTTTTTCCTTCAGGCGATAAATGTAGGAGTTTTCTTCTTTTGTTTAAAACTTAGATCTAACTTTAATTTATTTTTTATTTAACTGTCTTCCTTTCTCTATCTTTTTTCTTCTTTTCTTCCCATCTTCCTATTTTCTCTCTTTCATTCATTCATTATTATTTTCTCTCTTTAATTCATTGCCTTATATATTTCCCCTTTCTCGTTTGCATTCTTTTCTCTATATCCTATTCATTTATTGCCATACATATTTAAATCACTATACGCTCTCTTTCTTCTCTTGTTTTATAGCGTCTTTCTTTTTTCTTTCTTTCATTTCATTTAAAACACACACACACACACACACACACACACACATATATATATATATATATATATATATATATATATATAACTTTTCGATTTAATCATATACATCTATATATATTTGCTTGTTTCTTTCTTAATAATATCAACATCTATTTTTATGTCTTATTTTATTACTTTCAAATATAAATACGGCTTCTCTCGATTTTGATTTTAAACTGTAGGCCCGTCTTTCTTTGTTTTATATACAGAGGTAGCATTTTCGTTCTTTCTTTCTTTTAATCTGAAATTCTTTCTTATTTTAATCCATATTTTGTAGCTTACTTTCTGTATCATCTATTCAAATTCACTTCATAATCATTTTTCATATGGTTTTGATTTTTTATTATTTTCATTCTTATTTACATTCAACGTTTTTCCCTCCTTCCGCCATTTTTGTATGCTCACTTTTTATTGTTTTATTCAGACTTTACTGCATTTTACAGAAGCTGTCCCCATTTTCTTCTTCAGTCATGTTACCCTCTTCCTAATCTTGACTTATCATATTCTTTTGTCTCTATAACAGTCCACCTGGCATTTCTCCACCCAACAGACACACCAAACCTATCATACAGAAGGATAATCTTCAAAATCCACATGTTTTTTTTCTAATATCACCAATCATCTCTTCCATTACGATCGGCCATTTTTCTTATAGCTAGTAATTTTCGCGCAAACTCATCGTTTTATCGACTTGTGCTTAGTCGACTTTCTTAAAACACAATCAATATTTGGTTTCCATGTTGCAGAGATGAGTGAACTGATATGGAAGCATCACGAAAAAAAGAATCTATGGACATATGTGCATATCCACACTTCTTAGAAGAACAATATATTGCTAAGTTATACAGAGAAAAATGTGAGCAAATCTTGCTATTTATTTGGTGTTGTTACTTATTATTCTTTAGAGCCGGGTTGATATTTAAAGGCATTTTATTTATCTTTTTTTAACAGGAATAAACTAAAAAAATCAACAACATTAAAATGTTTGGGGTATTGGCACAGTAATGTATCGATAATAGAACTTGTTAAGAATAGAATGCCACACAAGACAGAAGAGGGTGTATTAGAAGAAGTAGAAAAAAGATTAAGATGATGATGATGATGATAATGATGAAGGGGAATTGGAAGAAGAAGAAGAAGAAGAAAAAGAAGAAGAAGAAGAAATAGGAGATGAATTATAACTAGAAGAAGAGGAAGAAGTGTAAGGCGATAACGAAATAAAAGAAGACGTAGAAGACTAACAAGAAAAGACAAGAAGGAAAAAGAAAATATGAAGAATAATAATAAGAAGAACTAGAAGAAGAAGAACAAGAAAAAACAAGAAGAAAGACGAAAAGGTAAAGTATAAGAAGAAGAAGAAGAAGAAGAAGAGGAAGGTGAAGAAAAAGAAAAGTAGTAGTAGTAGTAGTAGAGAAGAAGAAGAAAAAGGGGAAGAAAAAGAAAAGTAGTAGTAGTAGTAGTAGTAGAGGAGAAGAAGAAAAAAGGGAAGAAAAAGAAAAGAAGTAGTAGTAGTAGTAGAAGAAGAAGAAGAACGTGAAGAAAAAGAAAGGTGTAGTAGTAGTAGTAGTAGTAGAAGAAGAAGAAGAAGAATTAGAAGAAGAAAAAGATCAAGAACAAGAAATGTAAGAAGAAGAAGAAGAAGTAGAAGAAGAAGAAGAAATAGAAAAAAATAAAAGAAGAACACCAAGGACTAGAAGAAGATGAATAATAAAAGGAAGAGGAAGAAGAAAAAGGAGAAGAAGAAGAAGAACTAGAATAACTTGAAGAAGAAGACAAACGAGAAGAAAAAGAACAAGAAAATGAAGAACTAGAAAAAAGAAGAAGAACGAAAGATAAAAGAACTAGACGAAGAAGAACTATAAGAAGAACAAGAAAAAAAAGTAGAAGAAGAAGACGAACGAGAAAAAAAAGAAGCAGAAGATGATGATGAAGAAGAAGAAGAAGAAGAAGAAGAAAAAGATGAAGAAACCCAAGCCAAGCCCAAACGGAGAAGAAAGTAAGAATAGAATACTACAGGCGTGTGCATCTGGTGTTAAATGTCGAGTTAAATTGACAAAATAGAATATCAGCCATAAACACTTTTGCTGTTCCTGTGGTGCAATAGCGTTTTAACATCCTTAATTGGACCTATAGATGACATTTGTCGAATGGATGCCAAAACGAGAAAGTTTCTCACTTGCCATCGCATGCATCATGCTAAGTCCAATATTGATCTTCTGGATGCATCCAGATCCGAAGGAGGCTGAGGATTAGTTAGAACAGGGGATTAGTTCGAATTGTATTACAAAATTGTAACAATCGATCTTCGAAGATGTCTAGAAACTACAGAAGACTGGATGCTGATCTGTGTCAAAGAACAAGTAAGAAATGTGAGGCATTATTCAATCAAAAAAGAAACCCAACCAATTCAAAATTAAATTCCAAGTGGATGAAGAAACACAAATAAACCACAATGCATTCACTGCAATGAGAAAAAAAAAGTCTAAAAAGGAAGGCAAAAGCAAATGCATTTGACAAAGTCGTCCACTCTGCAGAGGAAAAGTAGCATCTTTTACGGGAATTAAATTTGTATGAACATCATCCAGACACAGTTACAGAGATAGGACCCGTAACAATTTTATGGGGCTTTACAATACACACAGACAGAACATTCAAAGGCTAATCGCCCAGACACTGAGATCAGAGACCACAAGAACAGAATGTGCTTTTTTTTTTATTGAGATGGCAGTTCCTGCGAGCTGTAATACATCTTTGAAGATCTTCAAAACTATCACATACAAGGATCATGTACAAGGATGTGGCGCATGATGATATCAGTAATATCCGTTTTGTTTGGAGGGCTTGATTTCATTGAAAAGGTTGTCGATAGCCCATGCTTTGGCGAAATACAAGGAAACATTCTCACTATTAAAAGAGATAAAAAAGAATCTCATATTTCGTGGAAGTGCACATTTAATCAATGTAAACAAAATACAAACACTGTATAAGTTAACGATCGCATAGCATCACAATTTGTGGAAATAGAATACAGAAACACACACACACACACATATATATATATATATATATGTGTGTGTGTGTGTGTGTGTGTGTGTGTATTAACTCACGTTACTCTAATTCACCTATAATTTCCTGGTAAGTTATTGTACTAAAATGATAGCAAAAATTATTATTATTATTATTATTAATAATAATAATAATAATAATAATAATAATAATAAATTCCCTAAAAAAGGAAGCCAACAAGTTCCAAATGGTGTTTCAAAAGGGTGCAGAAATACTGTTATGGTCCGGTTCCTTGTACCACGGTGATAGTTCAAGGTAGAACCAATAAAGAAGAACTCGAACACGGATATGGAATAAAAAAGATATATTACAAACAGGAATATATATAGAGAGAAGTAGAAAGTGTTAGTACGAACAATCAGGTTTAGTAGTAATTGTCTGAACGCGACTCTGTTTCGGACTGCCTCTGACTCGACTGACTGACTCGCTCGCTCTGACTGACAGATTCTGATGGACTACACTCCAGACTTCAGACTGAACAATATTTATTTAGTCACCCCCCACCCCCACGAGGGCGTCATGTGGCACAAGGCCGGTTTAACGTAGGATCTCCGAGCCCGTGAGCTCGGCCAAAAATATGCACGTTGAACCCGTATAAACTGGTTCAGGTTCGGTTTACCTCCCCGAAAGACACTCCACCCTTCGGCGTAGCCTCGTTCAGGTTCCACCCCGCCCAAAGGCAGAGAGTTCAACCGATCAGCCGGTCAGCCGGTCGCCCGACTTCAGACTGAACGGTATTTAGTCACCCTCCACGAAGGCATCATGTGGCACAAGGCCGGTTTAACGTGGGATATCCGAGCCCGTGGGCTCGGCCAAAAATATGCCCTTTGAACCCGTATAAACGGGTTCCGGGTCGGTTTACTTCCCTGAAAGAGAATCCGCCCTTCGGCGTAGCCTCGTTCGGGTTCCTCCCCGCCCGAAAACAGAGAGTTCAACCGATCAACCGGTCAGCCGGTCGACCGACTTCGGACTAAACTCCCTGCTTCCCCTTGAGGTGCAGTATTTATTACGTAGGGAATAGTGCATTATGTTATTATGGGTAAGGTCCCATAACAAATACAACTAAAGGTTAATACACAGACTGAAGTTGCAGAATTTTAACAAACAAAGCAAAAACAAATACAACCCAGCAGAAACATGGCCAATACTCTGCCCGTACCAAAAAGATGGTGTAGATAAGTCCCGTACCCATCAGTGGCTATGCAGTAGACTAATTGAAGGGATTCCTGGAAGTCCATGCCTCAAGGAGATACAAAAAATTGTCCTGAAAAGTACAGCCCACACTTTACGAAGGGCTTTATCTATGTAATTTTATTTTTTTGTCAGTGGAAAGTGTCATGATGCCATTTCTAACCTTAGGTCCCTGGGCGGGACCCGGAAAGAAATGTGTAAACGCCAGAACTCAAAGAAAATAATAATAATT